CATCTCGATTTCCAGACCTCAACGATACACGCACGCGATCAGAATCGGCACCAGCTGACAGTCAAACCAGGCCGGGGGATGATGCACTCGACGGAACGCTGAGCAGGCCCAGGTCGCTGTACGAAGCAGCGGAGGGAGAGCAAGGAGTTTCGCAATCTAGCCAAGGGGATGGAGTACAGCGGGCCGGTAGCATAACAAGCGACACCCAGAGGAAACGAGGAAGTTCTACGGCTACTACGAACACAGTCGCACCAGCAGCTCCTGGGGCCACTGCTCCGAAGCTCACGGGATTTGCCATTGCTAGTAAAAAGAGGAACCGTGACTTTCACAGCCTATTCAAGAGCGTGCCAGATGACGATTACCTTATTGAGGACTACAGCTGTGCGCTACAGAGAGAGATTCTCGCGCACGGCCGATTATATGTATCAGAGGGCCACCTCTGCTTCAGCAGTAACATCCTCGGATGGACAACGACTCTGGTTATGAGCTTTGACGAGATAGTATCCGTGGAGAAGAGAAGCACAGCCTTGGTCTTCAAAAACGGACTGATGATATCGACTTTGCATGCAAAGCACATCTTTGCCAGTTTCACTAGCAGAGACGCCACTTACGATCTGATTGTCAACATCTGGAAGCTTGGCCATCCGACCTTGACTAGCACGCTAAATGGAGTTCGGCTTGAGGGCACTGGTGGTGACAAGACCGAAAAACTTGACGTCGAGTCTGGAAACGTGGAGCCGGAGACCCCAGCTGGATCTGATTCTGAAGAAGGCAGCGACGATGACGATGACTTCTATGATGAAGAAGAGAGCGACCATGCTCCCGAAATCCAGGTCGCAGACGCCGGTGGCGCCGGCGGAGACACTGCCAAAGCAAATCGGAAGATATCTGGCGCTCCCGCTCCCAGTGCCGCCGTGCTTGACGCGACTGCCGATGGGCAATCTCCAGCAGCCGGCGCCGGATCGTTCCCCGGTCCGGCAGCCCACGCTCCGACTGACTGCGGTGACGGCGAGACACACTACGACAAGTTTTTGGCCGATGAAACTATCCCAGCTCCGTTGGGCAAGGTATTCTCTATGCTCTTCGGCGAGGCTTCTGCTGAGTGGATGGGCAAGTGGATTACAGAGAACCAAAAATGCTTCGACCTACAAATGGAGGATAAGAAGGGCATGAGCCCAGATAGCCGCACTCGAGGGTTCACTTACATTAAGCCTTTGTATGCTCCGATTGGACCGAAGCAAACAAAATGCATTGTCACCGAAACCGTGGACAACATCGACTACGAAAAGGCAGTCAATGTGAGTGTAGTGACGCAAAACCCGGACGTTCCCAACGGCAACATCTTCCGCGTCAAGACCAAGTACTGTCTGTCCTGGGGTGAGAATAACGCCACTCGGGTACAAGTCAACTGCACTACAGAATGGAGTGGCAAGAGTTGGCTGAAAGGTACGTAATTTTTTTTTTCAAACCCCAACTTAACTCTCGTATTCTTGTTTCTGCCTTCAATCGGTTGGCTATAATTAATTACTGCCTACTAACATACTACTTTGTAGGCACCATTGAAAAGAACGTCAACGAGGGTCAGGCCCAGTATTGCAAGGACTTGTTTGCTGCCTTGAAGGCAGCAGTTTCTACACGATCGCGAGCTTCTACTAATGGAAACGGGGCTGCAAAGTCGAAAAAGAAGGGCAAGAAGAGCAAGGCACTTCAGTCATCCACGGAATCTATCAACCCAGGTGCGCGTGCCAAGAAGGAAGAGGCAAACTGGGGCTTGTTCGAGCCGGCACGAGGAATCCTGGAGCCCATTGTCGATATTCTCAAGCCGATTCTCACGGGAAACATTGTTTATGGGCTCTTGGTGGGCTTGCTGGTTGCGACATGGTTCGGATTTGGCCTCACGCCGAACAACAGAAGCCCCGCACCGCAGGGCCCAGATCCTTCCATGAACAGCGCGTATCGTCTTGCGGCTTACGACGAGATGTGGCGCAGAGAGGACAGCGAACTTTGGGGGTGGCTAGAAGAGCGCGTAAGCCTGGAGCGCCTTTCCGTGGAAAGGTCAAACGCTCGCAAGCGAGAAGCAGATCCTAGAACATTGGAGGAGAGGGTGAGAGAAGAAAGGATGGACGAGCGAGAAATCCAAGAGGCCATCCGAGTTACGGAAGACAAGCTCAGAGTATTGAGAGAAGTTATGGCGAAAAGCAAGTTGCTATAGCTCAACCAACAGCAAGCAAGCGAACCCACCTTGTAAAAAAGGGACGCACTTATCAGTCTCATTATCTATTTTTTTTTTCTTTTTCTTTTTCTTTGTCAAGTCACACATACACTTACACGCCACTACACACCACTACACACCACCCGCATTACGGCATCATATTACATGTTAAAGCCCTCTTTTTAGCCAAAGTATTTTTCCTTATGTACATATAGATTACGGAGTATGGCGGGAGTGAGAGAGAAACTCCCCACTGTGTTGGGATATCACAACTTGTTTGCCATGAGGGGTTTTGGGTATCTTCTATTATTATCATTGTCATCATTGTGTTGCAGCGAGTTGTTGAATTCACCACATGCCTTCCTTGTATGCCTAAAAAAAGCTCCCAATTGTCAACTATTGAACAACAATTCCCAAAAGAATTGATAACTACTACTAGTTTCTAAAACGATGTTACCACAAGAAACGTTGTCAAGGTGACATGTCGCCACTGCTGCTGACACGCGGTATGAATCGAGTAAAATAGCCGGATGCTCGAAATCGACGCCTGCAGAAGCATCTCACTGCAAGAGGCATCCAATCCGGGATAGTGGTGGTGGTTTACTTGCCCAAAATCGAGTGGATAGCTCAACCAGACAAGTCAAGGAATGCTCTGTATGGTATGCATGTAGCTGAGACAAGCATGGCTCGGCGTCTTACGGAACCGAGCTAAGACTAGGAGCGCGAGTCAGCCTTGTAGGGCCTTGTAAGTGCCTTGAGCGGCCACTCTGCTGAGGACGTGGAGACGATTATCCCTGGCGCCAACAGCCACACAACGGTGGTTTTTGCTTGTTCGCGGCATGTGGCTTGTTGGCCTGTGGGCATACTTGCATATAGGTTATCACGCTGGCCACTTACGGAGTAGTACTACTGCTACGATTAGGATCAGTTGGGGGGGGGGTTGAGGACGCCTTGAGTGGTGCGAGGGGACGCGAGAAGGATTTCTCTTGTGTCTCGGTGGTACCGGGGCCAGGAACAAGAGCGACAAAGTGTGTGTGTGTGTGGCTGAAGAGGATTTTATTTTCTCTTTCATGTTGGACGGCAGTAAAATCTTGTTAAAAAGAAAAAAAAGTCCAAGAATTCGGCATCCTTGGGTTTCTAGGATTATACTGCTAACGTACCTTAGGTACCTTACCTAGCCTACTATATTGCTTAGGTACTATACTGCCGAGGTGTCTGTAATAGGCAATAGTACACACTACTACTAGGTAGCAGCAGTCCCTGCAGCAATGCCAGCAAAAAATGAAGTAAAAGTCATCCAATGCTCCCCCACTCGAGAGAGTTGACGTGGCTTCACCACATGAATGCCAGCAAAAACGACGCCAAAGCATGTAGTATGTATGTATGAGTACGGAGCACGATGCAGTTATTATGTATGTATGTATGATTTGTATGCATGGCTTGGGCAGGTCAAGACCTAATAAGGGGCGCCGGGCGTCATCATCAGCTGCCGAAGAGCGGTCACGGCTCAGCGAGTTTGGCGGTGGCAGCCAGAAGCCAAAGGAGGAGAGAAGTGGGGAGCCGGAAGAGGCTCTTAAAATGGGTCTATGGAGAGTCGCTGCTTTGCTGCTTCGTGTAAGAGGGGAAAATGCCTCTCCCGGCGGCATGGGGAAAGGGAAAAAGAAGAGGAAAAGCAGGGCAGAGTGATCGTGATCGCATCTGAGACAAGCACCACAAAAACGGGCACTGGAAGAAGAGAAGCGAAGAGAAAGAAGGCCAATCAAAACGTCATCATTGACGATTTCCTGCTGCCGCTTCCCTGCAGAGAGACGCGATGATGCCCGCTTGGTTCATTCATGGTCAGATACTAGCGCCGCTCTGCGCCTCAGCTTTATCTCTCTTTTGTGCCTGGATGTGGCGCAGAGGCCCTTCGGTTCGCCTAGGCCCGGACGGTGCTCACGGGATTTTCCTTTTGGCGTCGCGATCTGATGGCACTACCGCTGCTAGCATTGAGCACAGCACAGCACAGCACAGCGCAGCTCACGGCGCCTCTGACGGCCTCTGCTGCCCCCATACGAGCCGTTACGCAATAGACCGGCACTAGCAGGCTCGGGGCTGGCGCTTGGGCTGGGCTCCCTCATCTCAGCATCGCAGAACCCCGAGGCCAGCAGACGCCCGTGATGCCGGCTGACTACAGCGTGCCCGTTGCACGCTCGATGCCAACCACGACATGCTGTTCGGCGTGCTCAAGCCACAGTCTGGGGGGGCGGCCGATTTGGGGGCGCACTGGCGCAGGGATCAGCCTGGCAGACGCAGCGAATAGGCCCATTGGGGAGGATCCCTCGTGCCCCCTCCCCTCCTCCTCTGTCGCCTTGCCCAAGGGCCACTGCGGAATCGACGAAAAATCAGCCGCAGGCAGGCCATGCCAACAGGTCACACCCAAACGGGATACCCCTGCCCCGAGTCCTACTTAGTCGCCCCGGCAAAGTCCTAGACCTCTTCGTCTCATTCGCTGCGTAGGACCTCCCGTCTGGCAAAGCTGCCTCCAAGGCTCCAGCCGCAGCCTATGCGAGTAGAGAAAGAAACAAAAACACCATGGACGGTGCCTGAGCAGTGGCCGTTCCTCACTCTGCCTTCTTACATTTTGCCACATTCTGTTTTGGTCCTCCTTCTTCCTGTCTTGACCTGCTCCCCTTACCAGAGATCATCTCCACACGAGGGGGCCTTGTTTGGTGACCTTTTTTTGCCCCATAAACTATACTGCGGTACCTGACGACGAGAACCTGGGCAAGGATAGGTTCAGACCGCCATGGAAAACAAGAAGCTTGACGACCCTGGTGTCGCCGCCGCCTTAGCCCTACGGCCTCTAGTCCGTAGCCCAACCGCCGGTCGTTTGGGTCCACGGCGGACGTCGACAATTGCTTCCAGCAGCAGCTCTTCGGCATCCTCAGTGACTTCGTCTGTCGACGACGAGATGCCGACTTCGTGTGTGTAAGTGAAAAGCCATCCCGACTCGTAGGGAGAAAGCAAGAGACGATACACTCGGTTGATGTCTTCCACCCCTTGTCTATCTCTCAATCTTTTTCTCTGCCTCCCTATTTGCTCCCTCTCCTTTACTTCACTACGGTGTGATATGCTGACAGTCGGTTTGTTTCTCGCCGTCCTGAAGCTCACGCAGTACTTCGAGCGACGAGTGTGCCTTGCACAGATTCATTGTATGGGCGGCCGTCAAGCGCAATGCCTGTCAAAAGATGACCCCAGAGGAGCGGCGGGAGTGCCCGTTGCTTCGTTGCCGGAAGAGATTCCCCAACCATGAGCTCATGCTCCAACACCTGTATTTGTGCGATCACCTCGCCGGGGGGGAGTACTGGTGCTACGACTGCGAAAAGCCCGAGCAGCTCAGCGACGTCAAGTGCAGGCGCTGTCTGGGGCACCCGTCCAAGAGGAGGAAGATCGTGACCATGGCAAAGAGCTTCTTCAGTTCGTTGGGCCACAAACCAAAGTCTCAGGGCCTTGCTCTGGCCGCCTCCATGGGAATAGGCCCAGTTGCCAGCGGCGGCAGTGGGGGCGAGGACGAGCAAGAGCCTCCGAGCTACGAGTCCGTCTTCACGCCCACAGCGCCTACGCCTCTCCCTCCGCAGGCCGAGCTGTTCTCGACCGAGATACATGAGATCGGTTCGAGCGAGGTGCTGCTCCCCACTATCCCGGAGTGTGAGACCGAGACAGAGGCTATACCCGCCCCTGGGATGGTCCCCTGTCTCCCCCCATCCACATTCCCCATCTCACCACCAGGCTCCCACCCGGTAGCCGTACCGCTGCCATCGACTATGGAATCAGATTTCATAAATTGGAGGCCGTCACCACCATCTCCCCCAACTGTGGCACCACAAAGCCTGATGAAGCCCATTCACGGAAGGTTGGTTGATCGTCCAACACTGCAGGTCAACACGCACCTAGACCAGTTTCGAGGCCAAGCAAGCCGTCGAAGCAAGGTGCTGGCGCCGAGCTCCTCTGTCCGGTCGACCGCCAGCACAGACAGCACCGATAGCACTGATAGCACCGCCAGCTATAATATCTCGCCCATGTCGGGCTGGTCCGGTGGATGGACAAAGACGTCAGGCCTCGAGTCAACCTTGACGTCACCTGACGACCTCATTAGCCCTCAGAGCCTCCTGCCCTCGGGCCCTTTTGCAACTACTAATACCATCTCGACAAGACCTATTCCTTTCAGCAACTCAGAGTTTGAAAACATGGTTGCCAACTCTTGTCCATCTGAGCTTCCTGCTGACATCCCCATGTTTGATGACATTCCCACCGCCATGGATCCTCAAAAGACTCAAGCTCACATGAGCCTGGACCAGTCTGCCTTTTCATTCAATGCCGATATACCATTCCAAATGCCCATTGGCCCTCCGTTACCCTCAACTACCAACATCAACCTTGCCCTAACACCACAACTACCACCACCACCGCCGCGGCAGACCTCGGAACCAGCTCTACTACATGATGTCGCCTCTTCTAGCCTCAACACTGTTACACAGTCTCTAGCCAGATCCGTTCAAGACGCACTACGGATGCACATTGCCGACTCTAGGAACAAACTCGAGTCCATCAACCAGAATGCTCTCATGAAGAGGCTGTGCCAGATGTCTCTCTCCTCTGTCGCAGTGGCTGGTTTGGAAACCATGGCGGACATCTTAGAAGGCCGCCAAAATGCATCACCTCTAGACCTCTTATGCTTCATCCACGTCGTCTTCTCTCTGTCTCTGGTGATCCATGAACACGATGCCTCGAAACGTGCTGCTACTCTCTTCAAGCAGGCACTATTGTATAGCAGCTGGTTCTCTGAACCTGACAGGACATCGTTCATTGAAGTCGTCATCACCCTTTGGGAGCACTGTGAAGTGGACAACGACGAGATTATCCAACTATTGCAATCAAGCCCACCGATCTCAGACTCAAAGGGCAAACAGCCAGAACGTTCTCTACATGGATTGAGATCTGATCCACTAGTACTACTTGCGGCATACTTTTTGGATGGTATGCTCACTTGTCCTTTTTTTACTCTCTTTCCTATTCCTTTCCCTTTCGCCTAGGCTAACCATTGAATCTGTAGAACTCGAGTACGAAACGCTACATGAACACAGCTATAGAGGACAACCCTCTGCACTTGCCGACCAACACTACAAGGACAGCCTTGCAGCGGGTGCCAATTCGCCGTTTGCCATTACCACTAGATTCATAATTGAAAACATATTTTCTCACCAGTACTCTCACTTTCCAGGATCCGAGCTGGGCATGAAACAACTTATTGGCCAGGTCAACTCTGGTGGAGTGGGAACCGTGCGGCGGCTGGAGCTGGAGCTGATGCAAGCTGGGAAGGTAAGAAAGAGAGAGAGCCACTTTTTTATTTCCAAAAAAAAAAAAAAAGCACTTGTATGCATGGGCTAACAAGAGTTGCAAACATGCAGACTTATCTCCCCTCCGATGTGTTCTTCGACGAGTTTATCGCGGTTGTTCGAGAGAATACAGATCAGCTATACGCACAAAGGCCTTTTTCCAACTCCCGGTCAACATATCATCGATGCGGCGTCCAAGTCATGAAATCGCTAATTAGTGAGCCTGGTAGAAGCTCGGCGGTCGTGCCTGTTAGGACCGGGGTAGAATCATCGGGCCTTTCCACTGAAACACTCGATGCCATCATGGGAGTTAACTTTGACGGCTTTGATTTTGAGTCAATGGTGAACCTCAATCCAGACGCCGATGGTGATATGCCCGAGTCGGCGTCTGCTGTCGGGGCCCCACTCATGGGCGCAGCGGAGTGGACGTCAGGGCCAACAACGGTCGAGTCAGTAGCGTTTGCAGCCACACCTGCAGCGCCTCTGGGTCTGGGTACTGACACTACTATGCAGCTGATGGAGGAGGATCCGCTGATGCCGCCGAATGCCTCAGCACCCAGCAAACCAGAGCCTACAGCGACAGCACCACCACCAGCAACAGCATCAACAGCAAAGGTCGAATCTGACAGCTGCTGCGAGATATGCGGCTATCGGCCCAAGGGCGATCCTAGGTGGTTTGTGGGCAGCATGGCCAAGCACATGAAGACGATACACAGCGAGAACCCACAGATATTCCGATGTCCATATCCCGGCTGCACAAGCCAATACAGTAAACGCGCGGATAACCTACGACAGCACCAGATTGAGAAGGGACATTTTGTCGATGGCGAGGGGAACCAGGGCCGGCGACCGCGCAAGAGGAAACGTCCGTCGGAGGGTGGCGGCGGCGGCGATTGATGATCTATACTTGTGTATACGTTGTATATGTGTATGATCTCTAGGTCGTTGCCTTCACTCTACTATCCTTCTCTTTTTTTTCTTTTACCTTTTTTTTATTGGTCTCTCTAGATGTTTTTTCATACCCTCTTAGCCGGCGGACAATTTTTTTTTTCCCTCTTTTTTTTTTCTTTTCTTTTGTCATGGGTCATTGGATAATGTATAGACATGCCATAAGCGAGCGAGAAACAGGCGAGGCGCAACTTGGAAATTTTGACCACGATGAGATATAATGATTTGATATACACCGAGTATTTATGGGCGGCCTTGGGCTGCATTCACATAGCGAAAATGATATGCACAGCGTTGGGTTGACATTGGGCATGACCTAGCGGCAAGGGATAGAGGTGACGTATGAGAGCTGCCACGGCGAGAAATGCATTCATACCTCCCTCCATGATACGTGCAATGCACCGGCTTTCAGTGTTTCTTTCTCTTCTCTCTTTCTCTTTCTCTTTCTCTTTCTCTTTCTCTTTCTCTTCTTTCCCTTTTCTATTCTTCTTTCTTCAACTTCTTATTCCCCTTCCATCTGTTTGTATACCATTTTACTGCGGATTCGTTTCCGATGAAACGTTGTCATGGTGAGAGATGCTGCAGCAGACAATGCATAAAGCAAGCAAAGAAAGTGACGGCAGAGGCTGTGCCCATACAGGGTCTGGATGCTGACGGGCCGTGTGGCCGAGCCGAAAAGTCCCACGTCAAGGGAGGAACTGGCGTTTTGGCGGCATGGAGCTGTCACTACTATAATTTTTGCTGTACTGTACAGCATGCGCAGAGTGGCGCAAAGCAACACGCTCGAATAGTACAATTTACAAAGCAAGCCTTTTTATAGACGCAGAAACGGGGCTCCAGCCTATGGGTAGCGCGTCGCAGCGAACCTGTCAGCTCGCACAGAGCGAACACAGAGCGCTCGTACTGTACAGAGGGAGATGAAACATGCCAGGCATCTCATCTCAGCTGTGCGATCCACTGCAGTGGCATGCTGCTACTGCCGGGGTTGCTCCCTCGGATCGTCAATCGAAGCTGCAGAATGCCCATTTTGCTGTGCAAATTGCATCTTAGCAGGTGACCAGCTTCCCGCGTCCCGCCTCAAGCCAAGACCGCGTGCGAGAGACGGGCTTCTGGCACTGTCCCGGGCTCGCTCGGCACCTGTGGGCGCGTGCTGGGAGCAGCCAATGCATGGATGGCGGCGTGGGATTGGGCGGACGCTCACGTAAGTTTTTTCTCGGCGGGCTGACATCACATGGCGCAGGCGCAAAGTGGCCGGCGTAGCGGGTTTTTTAGGGGCGCCGGGGCAAGCGTTCTGAGGCGGTGATTTGACGGCGCTGGGCGATTTGAAATGCAGAGCTTCGGAGCCCATGGGAGAGGCAGGGAGCAAGGGAGCACAAGAAGTCTGGCATGTACTATACTTGGCACGCTCGCGGTATGATGACGGAGCAGCGCTGGGACAGGCGCCAGGCAAGCTCGAGGTCAACCAAGGTACCGCAGTACGGCGGCCAGTACCTCGCGCCCAAGGTACCCGCTACAGAAGCTCTGCTCCCAGGCGGCGGCAGCAGAGCACGGCGTGCGCGAAGCAGCTCGTGCTACGTCCACGGCCGCCGAATGCGCGCCGCTGAAGGATTCTGGGGGATGCGGCCTTTTCGATGCGGCGGCGGATAGGGCTGAACAGGAACAGGAGCGCATTTGTGCTGCTTCTGGGCTCAACCCCCCGTGCGACCCAGCGGCCTCGAGCAGCGACAGGGTATCGTCGATGGCGGTTAAACTCTGTTTGTGCTGCCGCGATGTGTCACGATCGTTTGCCTCCCAGGGCCCGACTCTAACCCAGGGTCGACAGATGCTAGTACTTGTACAGACAGCTGCTGCGGCGCCCATGTACCACTGCTAGTGCCCCAGAGTACCGCGCTACCTGGCGGTACGGCAGACGCAGGCAGCAGAGCTGGGGGGGCAGTGCCGACGCAGCGCACAGTGCGCAAAGGGAGCGACCCCCTGCCGTCTCCAGCGAATTGGGCGTGAGGAAAAAAATTGATCAAAAATTGCCGGCCACGGCCCCCATTCTGAGCCCAGCCCATAATAAATCCCATCCCATCGCAAATCCATGCCAGAGCGCAGAAAAAAAAAGCAACGACGCCAGCAGGCGCAAAGGAAAGAGAGAAGGGGCCGAAAGTCCCAGCCGTGGAGCCCACTGTGACGCCGCCCGGGATTGACACTGCCTGCGCAGCGAGGACGGCGAAGAAACGAGAAGAAAAACTAGAGCCTCGCCCCCCCTCCATCTTAGATCTTGCTTGTGCTTGTCAAAGGACCCCCCCCAACCCCCCAAGGTTCCCCAACGCACACCAGTTTGCCTTTTTATTTTTTTTCTCCTTCGTCATTCTGCCCACACCTCCTACCCAGCGCGCACCTCCACGCTTTGCACGCCTCTGCCAGCCCCATTAACGACACCCCCGAACCAGGATTCCGGGTTTGCTCGTCGCTGCAAAAGACGAAGAACCAGATTTCTGGATTTTGCCGGGAGAGCAAGACGAGTCGACGATAGACAGAATCGGCCGCGCTCGCAGCCAGCGTTCGACGCCGACCGTCGCGATCGACCGATCCGAAAGCCGCGACGGGCGGCTGACGACGACTCACGCCCTGCCGCCGCCGGTTGGTGCGATTGCGTGTTCGCGACTCTCCTCGCCATAGCTTCGCCGCGTCTCTGCTGCTCGCCATCGCCAGCCCATCATGTCCGGCCTGGGCCCGTCCGGGTCCAACGCGCATGGCCTGAGTTTCCCGCAGGCCGGCTTCAGACGCAGCGCCTTCCCCCCGTCGCACGCAAACCAGCCGAACAAGCAGTCGCCGGCCCCCCAGGCCGCCTCGCCGTACCAGTCGCAGGCCTATCCGCAGCAACCGCCGCAGAGCGCGTATGCCCAGCACCAGCACCTCTTCAACACGCCCGCCTCGGTCAACGCAACCGTCGCGAGCGCCTCGTCGCGGGCGCCCAATGTCCATGCGCCAAACGCCATCAACATGCCGCGCCAGCGGACTGCTCCGCCGCGGCAGCAGATCCAGCCGCAGTCGAACCCGCCGCCGATGCTCTTCCCGGGCCCCATGAACCAGTCCGTCACCCACGATTCCATCCTCTCTCATCAGCAACATCATCCGCAGCATCATCCGCAACAGCATCCGCAGCATCCGTCGCAGCAGGCATTGGGCGGGCATCCGGGCCACGCGCAGCAGCAACAGCATCACCAGCAGCAGCAGCAGCAGCAGGCCCAACAGGCCGTTCAGCAGCATCAGCAACAACAGCAACAACAGCAGCAGGCTGTACAGCAGCAGCACCAACAGGCCCAGCAGGCGGCTCAGCAACATCACCCTCAGCAACAACAGCCGCATCATCCTGCTTATGCCCAGCACCAGCAGGCGCATCAGACTCATCCCTCCCACCCGGGACATCAAGCACATCAGTCACATCAGGTTCAGCAAGTTCAGCAGCAAGCACATCAAGCTCAGCAGCACCAACAAGAACAGCTGCATCATGTACACTCTCGCTCCCAGCAGCAGGCGGCGCAACAGCAGCAGCAGCAGCAGCAGCAGCAGCAACAGCAACAGCAGGCGGCACAACAGCAGCAACAGCAGCAACCTTCGCGGCAACAGCTACAACTGCCTCAGGCTCAGACTCAGCAGCCGGTGCAGCAGCAGGTACCCCAGCCGGTTCAGCAACAGGTGCAACACCAGGTGCAACACCAGCAGCATCAAGCCCAAGCTCAAGCGCAGGCCCAGGCCCAGGCACAACACCAACAGCAGCAGCAGCATCACCAGCAGCAGCAGCAACAACAACATCAACAGCAGCAGCAGCAGCAACAACAAATGCGAGCTGCTGCTGCCCAGCAACCTGAGCCTATCCCCCAGCAGCAACAGGATGGTCATGCAGGAGATGATATAGATATGGACGGTCAGCAAGAGGGTGAGGAGGGGGACAGCACACTGGCTCCATCCAAACTCATGAACGACTCATTGGCAATCGCCCCCATGGGAGAGATGATGTCACCACCCCCCGAGGGTGGCAGCTATCCAACGCTAGAAGCTGTACAGAAAGCTGTTTTGCGTTACTGCACCTCGGTGGGCTATGCTATTGTCATTGGCCGATCCAAGAAAACTGTCCCTGGTCTCAAGAAGGTGTTGTTTGTCTGTGATCGAGCTGGCAAGCCGCCGAGCCGAGTCAGCCCCGAATTCAGGAAACGAAAGACATCTTCCAGGAAATGCGATTGTCCCTTTGGCTTCTTTGCCATTGAGCAGCGGACCCAATGGACCATCCGTTACCGACCCGACCCCTCGCATTTGCAACACAACCATGGACCGAGCGAGAGCCCGTCAAATCACCCGGCGGCTAGGAAGCTTGACAGCAAGATGGTTGCTGCCGTGAAGCAGCTTAAGGAGAATGGTTAGTATTACATTGCACCTTGCTTGTTTTGAAGAAGAAAGAAAGAGAAGATGGAGAGAAGATGGAGAGAGGGAGAAAGCATCTTGTTGGATGGAAATTCTCGCTAACCGATCCTATATATAGGTGCAGGCGTATCTGAAACACTCCAGATTCTCCAAACGGACAACCCTGACTGTCACTTGCTGCCGAGGGACATTTACAATGCTCGGGCGGCCATCAACCGCAATCCGCAGAAGGTGGCTACGGGCCTGGCGGAGAACAGGCCGGCCATATACACCAAGCCGCTGCCATCGCCCGAAGATCGAATCCGGTCGGACCTGCGACGGGAGCTGGCTAAGGCGCGCGAGGACCTCAAGAAGGTGGAAGAGGAAAAGCAAAAGGAGATTGAAGAGCTCAAGGCCAAGCTGGTGGAGAAGGACAAGATTATTGAAAAGTTTGAAATGTTTATTGACATTTGCAACCAGAGGGTCATGGTTCAAAGGGAAAGGCTGGCTGGTCATGAAGGCGGCGCGGCAGGCGGAGGCAATACGACTGTCTAAGGCAAGACAAGACAGATGCGAGAGCTTCCTAACTCGATCTACATCTACATCGGCATCCACATCGGCATCCACAACATTCATCTTCATCTTCTCATCTTTATCTCTACATTCTACCTCTATATCTCTCGCTGCGTCTGTCTGTCCATCCCCAACCTCCCTCCTTCCAACCTTCCAAAACTGGCGTACCGGTCTTTGAAATATACATTGGGAACCTGGAGAGCAGTCGGTCGGTCGTTCCGGTCTACGGAGTACTACTACATACGGAGAGGCGTTTAAGAAACGGTGATGTCGGTTCGTTCCCTTTAGTTATGACATTGTTATCATGCAAGTATATGATGTATGTGTTTTCTTGGTCTCGTTTCTTCATTTCTCCTTTTTCTTTTTCTTTTCTTTTTTTTCCCGTTTGCTTAAGATGAGGGTGATTTATTTCCAACCCCAGTCTGTCTGAATAGCTACTGAAGCATAGGCCTGTACGCTTTCTAAGCCATGAGCTCGCTCTTTTTTTTTTTTTTTTTTTTTTTTTTTCATTTTCTCTTTTTTCTCCTTTTTTTTCTACTTGAACTTTCTCTCTTTTTTCATCATATTTTTTTTTTCTTTTATACTATGTTAGGTCGATTCACAAAGGGCGTCAAATTATGTAAAACTTGTCTCTCAGGGTTGTTGGAAGAGGAAGGAAAGGGCGATTGAAAGCATGGGTTTTGTAGGACGCTGGTAGTTTTATGCTGGTAGAATTATTCTTTTTTTTTTTTTTTTTCCTTCTTGGAATGGTCTCAATGCTTGAATGACGAAAATTTGAAGGTTTTTTTTACGCAATCTTTCGCTTTTACATGTTCTTTTCTTTTTGGTTTGACTCGCTATTTTTTTTTTTTTTTTTTTTTTTTTTTTTGTGCCCAGTTGAGTGATTTTTAGAAGAGTGGTTGTTTTTTCTTTTCCGGAGTGAATAAAACAATTAATACAAGTCAAGCTGAATGCCTCTTTTGTTTATATACGTACACCCTGATATGCGGCAACGGGTACTAGAGAGGTAGTACCCAAAAGGTGTAGGACCCTGGAAAACGTGATACGGAGAATTAAACCTGTCCAAGAGGCGTGTATAAACGAAGATATGGACAAAAAGGATGGAAACAACAAAAAAAAGGGGTGGAGTGTTAATATCGGCAGATACACACACGTAGATGCAAGTCGGTTTTTTTTCTTGAAGGAGAAAGGTGGCGTGGCGTGGCCGTAGCATTTTTTATTTTCTCTCTACGACTAATTCTGCATAGGGGTATGTTGTGGTGTCGACTTTACCTTACCCGGTATTGGATGGCCACCCCTCGTTCCTGTACCTTTTTTTTCTCTTTATCTTGCTATCTGTGGTTTTTTTTGTGTTCTCCATTTTTTGGGAGGGGGATGGGGCACGGCGGCGGGAGAGGCGTGTGCGGGATGGATGGATATTGGGTGCGAGGGTATTAAGGGTTTGTGTGAAGATAGGAGTGTTTGTAGTAGGTAGTAGACTATTCGATTTGTTTGTCTGTGTACGTTTTGTTTTGCTCTTTGTTTTATGTGTGTTGATATATGTATATATATTAGGTAGTAGATATTTTACTTTACCTTGATTGATGGTGGTTGGTAGCTCGGTGGTTGTGGGTTGGATGGATACTATAGGTCACTGGAGGGAACTTTGATTATATACGTAGCTTGGAATTAAGTCAATTGGAAAATGATTAATTGCAAACTCTATAGAATACAGAAGGATAAGGATTGAAATGTTGACGATGAGGATGATGCAAGTAAAGAACTTGAGTAGCGTAGCAAAAGTGTGAGAGATGTCATGGGTGCTGCGGGCAAACCCCTCCCATTCGGCATTATGAATGAGGTGAGACATTACTATGTACTACAACTACTACCTAGTACTAGTAGCTGCCATACATCATACATTGGATGATACTGCATCAGTGATGCCCTCTGCTGAAACAGCTGCAGCTCAAACAGGCACTAGGTCGGGGCACACAGCTGCTGCTGTACAAGCGACGGGCCTATGGCAAGCTGCGTGTACCTCTCTAGCCACAGCCTCTCCAAATCAAAAAGTCAATGGTGCTTCCCCTCCTTGCAGTGGGCACAATAACAAAAAAACAAACATCAACGCCACGTTTTAGGCCAATCAGGCACGGATCGCTGGCGCTTCCCCCTCCTCGTCCAGCTGCTCGGTGTCTTTTCCTTCTCTTTTCCAGCACCCACCCCCACCTGGGAAGGAAAAAGAGTGCGGCGCTGGCTGGCTGGGATGGGACACATGACAATTGAACCAGAAGCTGGGAGCGCGACCAGGGTCCAGTCCGCTTGGGGTCGCGTAACTAACCTGCCCGGGCCATTTTAGCTCGTTCCTGTCAGGTTCTGTACTTGGGCCGTGGCTCGCGCTGCTATCTGGGAGAATGTACCTCATGTGGATATGCTCCATTATCGTAGTACCGCATAGTCTGCTGTAGCACTTTGGATGTCTGCTCTGATGCGGTGTGCCTCCTATTTTCGTTTCTGGGCCATGTCTCCGTTGAATAGTTTGGCTGTTTGATACACTTCTTCTCCGCAAAGCGCAAAACTTCCACCCTGCTTGCCCGAGATAGATCGAGGGACCCTGGAAACAGCCCCTAGAATTCGTCTTTGGTGGCGCACAGTACTTGTGTGTACCTAATCTAGGTACTATACTACTTGCTAACTCCAAGTCACCACCAAACACATACCGCAGACCGCTGCTACTGGACTCACTAACGTGCATCTCTCTCCTGCAAAATCCCCTGTTTTGCACGACCTTTGCGAGAGCTCCGACCACAACGAGAACAGCATCTTCTACTCTCACCTTGTCCTGACTGTCGAGCATCATCCCTCATTTTTTTTTCCTGTGTGCCTCGCCCCTCTCTCCGACCCCTGGCGAACATCCATTAGCCACCGACGAATCGAGGCCCCACTATACCTCGAAACCTATCACGAACCTGACGACTCTGGAGATGACCGGCTTCTCGACCTAGAAGCTTGCTTGTTCCCTTCTTTTTTTTCCCCCCTTCTTCTTCTTCCTCTTCCGTAGACGTTTCCTGCCATGGAAGTGTCTTCGGCCAGCGTCCCGAGCTCGAGCCTCGGCGGCGCCACCAACGGCAACGGCGCCTCCATGCCGGCCCCCTCGTCGCCCACACCGACGCCGACGCCCTTCCCGACCATCGAGCCCGAACGCGTGGTCGACCACCTTGCCGCCATCTGCGAGATTGCCCTCGGCGCATCGCGGGCAGATCTCGAGCTTCCCGGCAACCTGCTGCACAAGGCGTCGTACGGCGAGACCATTTCGCGGTGCACGCGCTTCGCCAACGATACCCTCAATGTTTTGTATATCCAGAAAGATGTGGTGCAGTCAGGGTCGCTAGAGAATGGCAATGAGAATGGAGAGTCGATTGAGCATCCTAGCATTGATGCTGCTGGTGAGGATTTCTGTATTTTCTCTCTCCCCCCCGCATGCCTACACTCCTCCCCTTTTCCTTATCTCCTCCTCCTTGTTTTGAGCCAAACTGACCGGCAACGATAGCTCCCACTACCTACGACTACACCCTCTCGACCGAAATCACCTCTACCCCCACCACCGTCGCTACTTTGATTTTGCTCAAGGCATCGCAAGCTATCGATTCTTCTCGTCCTCTTACTTCGCAGATATTCATTACTAATTTACCTGGTCCTGCTTCCCTTAATGCCGCCTCGGGAGAGCAGGGCGTTGCTCTCTCCCCGTGGGAGGTGCTCCATTCTCAAGTGCACCACGCCTTGGTGCCGTACTTCGATGCAAACAGCAAGAGCCAGCAGCTGGCCAACGGGTCAAGGGGCCGAGATGTAGATGCCAAGACGGGTATCCCCGTTACGAAGAAGCGATTGAACGACCTGGAGCTCAGTCTGCTTCATCTGCAGCAGAACGTCGACATTCCTGAAATTTCCTTGACGTTCCACTCGCTTATCCAGAATGTCCTCGATGACGCCGAAGTCACGGAGACGAAGCCTTCTATGGAGGCTATTCCGAAGAACCTGCTCCAGGACAGCAGCTTCCTCAACAAGCTTCAGGCAAACGTCAACACCTGGATCAAGTCTATACAAGGTATCACCAAGCTGACAAAGGAAACCTCATCGAATGCCGTCCAAGAGTTCAGCACGGCCAGCCAAGAGGTCAACTTTTGGCTGTCCATGGAGTCTGCGTTGGAGGGCATCGAGGACCAGCTTAGGAGCGAAGGCGTCCTCTTGACTCTCGACGTTTTGAAGCATGCGAAGCGTTTCCAGGCCACCGTCAGTTTCGTAGCCGATACGGGTCTGAAAGAAGCAAAGGAAAAGGCGCAAAAATACAATCAGCTGATGCGCGACTTCCCGCTCGACGAGCTGCTGTCTGCCCCGTCCCTGCTCAAGGTTGAGGAGGCCATCACTCAGATCTTTGCCCATCTGATGAAGAAGCTAAGAGTGTGCCCGTATCCAATCAGAAGAGCTCTGAGCTTGGCTCAAGCTATTTCGGCGGATTTGAATGACGTGCTCCTTCGGCTGCTTCCCGGCGTTGAGCTTGTCAACCTGGGCTACCCAGAGTTTCAGAATGTCATGCGGACGTGCGACAGCATTTTCGCCGCTTGGGAGGACAACATCAAGGAGTTTACGCATCTGGCCCGTATGCTCATTATTCGCAGAAACGAGAAGCGAATTCCCATCAACGTGGAAAAAAACCACTCCGAGCTTGAGTCGCGAATCAAGTATGTCAGCGCATTCCGAGACAACCACGAACAGCTGCAGAGGACCATTGTCAATGTTCTGGGACCCAAGGCTATCATCCCAGGTGTTGTTACGGATGTCTCCTCTTCCTCCCCTACTACTACCGGCGCTGTTATTGAGGAGATGGGCGACGTGGATGCTGTAGAGGAAGTCAAGCGAGCTTGGGAGGCTCTGCAGAATGTCGATCTCCTGGATGTGACAGACCAAGGAAAGGAGCGATGGGCTCAAGCCGAGAATCTGTACAACGAACGCACGACGCGAGTTGAAAACTCCATCATTGCCAGATTACGAGACCGTCTAGCCACGGCCAAGACTGCTAACGAAATGTTCCGAGTCTTCTCCAAGTTCAACGCCCTGTTTGTGCGCCCCAAGATCCGTGGTGCCATTCAGGAGTATCAAAACCAGTTGATGGACCATGTGAAGCAGGCTATCAATGGCTTGCACGAGAGATTCAAGCAACAGTATGGCCATTCCGAGGCTCATGCTATGGCGCAGCTTCGCGATCTTCCTCCCGTCTCTGGTGCCATTATCTGGGCTCGCCAGATTGAGCTTCAGTTGGACGGATATATGAAGAAGGTTGAGGCTGTGCTTGGACCCGATTGGACTCTGCATGCTGAAGGCCACAAGCTTCGGGAAGAGAGCGAGCTGTTCAAGAACAAATTAGACACCGGAAGGATATATGACGCATGGCTGGCTGATGCCAATCGACGTAAAATCTCCATTGCTGGACAACTTTTCACCATCAACCGAGTGAGATCTGCGGGCGGCATTCTCGAACTGAACGTCAACTTCGACCCTCAGATTATTACTTTGTTCAAGGAAACCCGAAACCTTACCTGGCAATCTTACCTTGTTCCCCATGCGGTTACTACAGTATCCAAGGACGCCAAGAGAGTATATCCGTACGCTGTTAGCTTGATGGAGGGTGTCCGAACCCTATCTCAAACGCTGCGGCAAGTCTCTGAAATGGGTGAAGAAGCCATTCTCCTCAACGGATACAAGAACGAGGTTTACAAGCTTATTGCTGACGGTGTCCCGCTAAGATGGGAGTCCTTTGTCAATTCACACGAGCTGTTTTATGCCGACCAGAGACAGATACGGCCCTTGCTTCCTGGAAGTACTGGCTTTGGCCCGGCCAAAAACACCGAGAGCAAGCATGGCATGTTCATATGGGGCTTCGCGGCGGCCGTTTCGGTGCTTCAGTCAAAGACCGCTACTCTTAGCTCCATATATGCCACCATTGAGCAAGCCCTGAAAGACCTCGGCACTTGCCCTTACGATGCTGCGGCTTTCCAAGCCCATCTCGACACCATCCAAGCTGCTGTTGACCAACTTAACTTGGAACAATATGCTAACCTTGACTTTTGGGTACGTGGCGTAAATCACAAGGTTCAGACTATCCTGCTTGAGCGTCTCTCCACGGCGGTTCAAGCATGGATTGCTGCCTTTGAGGAAGATGTCCCGGCAGATGACAGACGCAAACTGTCCAAGGAAGATGAAAAAGATGGACCAACCATGAAGCGACTTATCCTGGAGATTACCATGCGCAACCAAGTCATTTATCTTGATCCCCCGTTGGAATACGCCAGAGCAAGCTGGTTCCTTCACCTCCATGACTGGCTGGGCATTGTTTGTAACCTGCGCAAGATTAAGGCTACGCGATACCAGATGAGTCTCAGTACTGAGACCCAAGAAGAAGCCCGCTTTACCGATCTGCCTTCTCACTGCGCAGATATGCTTCACAGCGTTTATGTCTCTGTTGAGAAGAAGCTTAGAGAAGTGAGCATCTATGTGGACAAGTGGCTCCAGTTCCAGTCTCTCTGGGATCTTCAGTCTGACCAGGTCTACGACATGCTTGGTGACCATCTTCCTAGGTGGCTTGAGTGTCTCCAAGATATTCGAAAGGTGCGAACGACTTTTGATACGCAGGAAGTTAGCCGCTCGTTTGGCCACATCACTATCGACTACGATCAAGTTCAGACCAAGGTCAATGCCAAGTACGACCAGTGGCAGCAAGAGATTCTTATGAAGTTTGCCAACCGACTGGGCAACCGAATGCGTGACATTAATGCCGATATTGAGAAGGCGCGAAAGAATCTCGAAGGCCAGAGCTCAGACACCTCATCTACTGCGGCAGCCGTCCAGTTCATTACCGCAGTGCAAAGCTGTCGACGCAATGCCAAGCTCTGGGCGCCAGAGATTGACATGTTCCGCCAGGGACAGTCTACTTTGGTGAGACAGCGCTACCCGTTCCCCAATGACTGGCTTCACATTGAGCAAATTGAGAGCCAATGGGAAGCCCTCAAGGAGATCTTGGAGAAGAAGTCCAAGATTATGGAGGAGCAGTCTGATGCCATGCGAGCAAACATCATTGCTCAAGATAAGCTAATCAACGAGCGCATTGGAGAGATTGTGGCTCAGTGGAATGAGGAGAAGCCTGTTTCGGGAACAATCCAGCCCGATGTGGCCTCTGCAACTTTGACAACTTTCGAAACTCGCATTACGGCTTTGCAAGAGGAGTTCCAGCAGGTCATGAAGGCAAGAGAGGCTCTCGACATTCCCGGCAACAATGACAGCATTTTGGAGGTCACCTTGGAGGAAGTTCGCGATTTCCGATCCGTCTGGTCCAACCTTTCTACCATTTGGACTAGTCTCAACGAGACTCGAGATATGCTGTGGACTGCTGTTCAGCCAAGAAAGATTCGCCAAAAGGTGGACGATTTGATCAAGAGCACCAAGGATATGCCGAGTAGAATGAGGCAGTATGCCGCCTTTGAACACGTCCAGGGAGTTTTGCGTGGGTTCCTCAAAGTCAACAACATCTTGTCTGATTTAAAGTCTGATGCCATTCGCGAGCGTCACTGGCATAAGATTTACAAGCAGATTAAACCCCAGAAGCGTTTCTCACCCAGCTCCATGACTCTTGGTGATGTTTGGGACCTTAATCTCACTGCCACCGAAGTCATCGTCAAGGACATCATTGCCCAGGCTCAAGGTGAGATGGCTCTTGAAGAGTTCCTCAAGCAAGTTCGTGAAACTTGGCAAAACTATGCTCTCGAGATGGTCAACTATCAGAATAAGTGTAGGCTTATCCGCGGTTGGGACGATCTGTTCGCCAAGTGTAGCGAGAATTTGAACTCTCTTCAGGCCATGAAGCACTCACCTTACTACAAGGAATTCGAAGAGGATGCGGTGGCTTGGGAAGATAA